GACAGCGCCACCTACCGAGTCGGAGAACCGCAGTCCCAGGAACGCATTTCCAGGACCCTAGTTTTGGAGGAACTAAAAAAGTGCCACCAAGGCAGTATCTCCACCCAGTTTTAACTACATTAGAGTTTTTTAAAAAGTTTTATTACACCCAAATACTACTTTCTTTATTGCAATTAAACCAGGTTCCTAGGAATGTTGAGAAATTGGGTCTAAGTAGCATACTATAATATAACTCAAGTAAAATAAACAAGGAATCATGTTATAGCCTTTTCAGTCACTCGATGGACCACATTTTCAAGTACAGAGGGAAGACAAGGATGACTCAGGGGGTAGATTGATTGTGTATTTTACAAAATAATATGTAACACTTGAACTTGAACACACAAAATCTTTTATAAAATAATATATAACAACTGAAATTGAACACACAAAATATTTTACAAAATAATATGTAACAACTGAACTTGAACACACACAAAAACAAATTTGATCATGACGTGAACCACTTCAATGGATGGACAAACACATGGACAACATCATCACTGACTCCTAAGAGAGAGAAAGAGAAGTGAATTAAATAAGGAACATTTAGTTGAACATGTTCTACTCTCTAATTTTAAATTTCATATTTAAAAGATCTTAGTTACCACAGAGTAATGATAATGATAAAAATAATGATATCAATCTTCATACCAATTACTGTTCATAATACAATTATTGCATACTGTTCAAAGATTTGGAAAAAAAAAATGATTTTGATGTTGTGGGAACAAAGGTTCTAGAAACACTCATGTCAATAAAGCCCATCTGAACTGAGAAAAAATTAATAGAGAGAGATGCAAGAAATCTGAATAGAAATAACATTATTGACACGACTTTTCCTGACCATATATAAGTAGGCCTATACAGTAAATGACACAATCTAACACGTGGGATTTTAACAGTCAATTATTATAATGGCCTCTCTGATATGTCTGACTATTAAAATGTCATATGTCTCAACCAACTTTATAAAACCATGTCAAAATGAAGAGACGTACACATAACATGTATTGTGGGTAACGTTAACAGGCTTACTGTGAGCACGTGACAGTGAAAACATTACGATTATTTTAACTGAATTAAAATGGAAAAACAATGAGTAATTAACAAGCTTTCAGAACGAACATGGTACAGTTTATTGTGCTGTAAGTAAGTCAACACAGGCTTAGCCTATCATGCAACAGCTCCGTTAAATGAACCGTAGTATTTCATTTTCCAGCATTAGAGGCTAATATATGATGGCTATGCATTCAAGACTGTTTAGCAAATCACCAGCACGTTGGCAACGTTAACTTTCCAATGAAATGCATCACAATTGTTTTTAAAGTTAAACAAATAAAAATTGATTCGCATTTGATACTCACACTCTGAATGTCATCCATTTTCGCTGGTCCTCTAATTCGGTAGGTGGCGTTGTCACTAAAAACCTAGGGTCCTAGAAATGCGGTCCTAGAAGTGGGGTCCTGAAAATGCAGCCTCCGGGACTGCAGGCAGATGCTACTCGCTCCAACGGCCGTTATACAGAGATAGGTAGCTCCGACGGCACTTTTAAGATGACCCGCTGCGCATCAACAAGTGTAAAACGAAGATCACCAAAGGATCTTGAAAAACTGCTCACAGGTTGTACTTTAAGCCCATATATAGTAATTTATATGCACAATTGTCGCTATTTCCGTGTTGTTTAAAAAAAAAGTATAGCCTACTATGCATTCTTTCACAGACGTATTCAAGTTTAAACCCAATAAACGTATTATTCAATGCATTACTTCTTATAAATTTAATTAAATGCATATATGTAATATTTTCATGTCAATCCGTGTTCAGTTTGACCACGAACCATGCGCTGTCACTTTAATTCAGCGCCTGCAGCACAAACGATCTCTGCACGCACCGCACAGGACGGGCATCCGCGTGCAGTGAAAGCTCCAACCTGTTGACATGGGTATGGTAAAAAATATGCACTGCAAACGGAGTAGGCCTATGTGTAAACCCCTTATTTACAGTGCACACATCTACGGCGCATTATGGCTCCCACAATGTTTTATTCCTACATTCACGCGGTGTCAACTCACACCGGGAGCATTTCCACGTGATTTGCCGATTTGTGGGCGCGATCAGATCCGGTAGGCGACCGTCTTAATGAGCGAGTCATTGATTCATTTGTTCGAACGATTCGTTCGAACGGCTGAGTCATTCATGAATGAGACAGATTATGGATTGGTCATTGAATCTTTCAGTTAACCGATTCGTTCAAAATGCTGAATCATTCAGTAATGAGAAAACACGTTGCTGTGATTGTTTAACTAGTTTCACTGCTGAAACAGAAAAAAGTCAATATTGCATATAAAATGTAAGTGATTTGACGTGTGTGTGAGAGAGATTGTGTCTGTTACAGTGACAAGAGTTTAACCCTTTAAGGCCTTGTCTTTTTGGATATATATCTCTTTTTTTATTACAAAATGTGCATACAACCCATATATTGTAAATGTATTGTTTGCTTTAAATTAAATTAAGATTGTATGTTTGGTAATTGAACCTAAATAAATTTAAAATTAGGAAGTCGGCTATTATGGGTTTAGGAAGGCCGATCAGATGGATGTAACTATTGTGAGTCAAAGTTATAGCGCCACCAACTGGCAGCAAGAAGTGTGTCACTTTCTAAATGCTTTTGACAAAAGTGGGGGGGTTAGTTTTATCTACAGTAACAAAACTCGATATGTATATTGTACTCTTCGAGCCGGACAACTTTCTAATTTACCGTAATTAGCTCAGATTAAGAGGAAGTCAGATATTTTGGTTTGAATATGGTGAGCCTCTCTCTGTCTCTCTCTGAGCTAATATGGCAAGCCGTTTTAACATTTAATCATTTTAACCTACTAGTCTCTATTTTCATGCTACTAGTACTTATTTTTTAGATACTAGTATCTATTCCATTAAGTACTAGTACTTATTCATTAGCGACTAGTGCTTATTCTGTTTAGAATATTCAAAGTGCTTATTCAATTTTTATGCTTATTTATATTTTCAGAGCAGAAAATCCGATTTTTCTGCTTATTCAATATTGCATCTAAAATGTAAGTGACTTGACGTGTGTGTGTGTGAGAGAGAGAGAGAGATTGTGTCTGTTACAGTGACAAGAGTTTAACCCTTTAAGGCCTTGTCTTTTTGGATATATATCTTTTTTTTATAAAAAAAAGTGCATACAACCAATATATTTTAAATTTATTGTTTGCTTTAAATTAAATTAAGATTGTATGTTTGGTAATTGAACCTAAATAAATTTAAAATTAATGTTCTATATTTCAGATCAATATATTTGTTTTCCTTCATTTTAATCAACACTAACTTTATTCTCATCTGAATTATAAATAACTTATTTCTGTATAAAATAAAAAATCCCGAATAATCCAGACCAACCAGAGCGCACTATTTCTACAACATCATCAGTGCTGAAGCGGAACTACCAGAGCCGTTCGGCAGATAGCGAGCAGATATTTTGTGTCACGTCGTGCACAATAACCCTAAAGGCACCAGGGTGGCGGTGCCACCGGCTTTTTATATATATATATATATATATATATATATATATATATATATATATATATATATATATAAATATAAATATAGCTGCGAGCAGCGATGAAGGGCCAAAGCCGGCGGCACTGCCACCCTGGTGCCTTTAGGTAACTAAAGGCACCGGGGTTGCGGTGCCACCGGCTTGGGCCCGTAATCGCTGCTCGCAGCTATATTTATATTTTATTTTAAATTTTGTATGTATTCAAATTGTATAATATCCAAGGTACGCAATTTCTTGTGCAGTTGATTCTCATATTGTAATTTCAGAAAGTTTTGAATATTTTTCCTCTCCCCAAATACCGAAACCCAATGATAAATAATTTAATAAGAATGCTTGTATTAACCTATTAAGATTTTGTTAACATCTATCTTGTAAATAAATGTTTTGCTATTTTATTTAAAAAGTTTTTACTGGTAAATCAATAACAATTGCAATTTTAACAATATTTCAAGTGTAATTTATGAGATTTGCTTTTTGAAACCAATCTTTCTTTTTAAAAGGCATAATGTTTATCATACTGATTTCAAAGTTAAGGATTCATTTCAGTTTAAATATACATTCAACCAAACACTATAATAACATCTTAGCTGATAATTCATTACTTATTTTTGTCAAAACATCCCATGTGTCGATCGTGACTGCACATTTACGGTAGTGACAGTAATGTTTTGGTAGCGGCCACATTACACTACAGAATTGTAACTCACATAATTAAAACACTACTAAAACATAATAAAATACTATTGACTTGCATAACTGTACTAAAATTTTGTTTATATTTTCCCCAAATAAAGGATTATGTGATACCTTTTGTCACTGCCAAAACACTGATGACATGTTTCCAATGAAGACAAATTCTTTCCAAATATGAATTCTATTTAAGGACCTTTTTTTATTTGACTTTTACCATATTGTTGATCAAAGTCCATGTCTTTAAAAGCTTAATTTATTTTAGTGTTAGCTCATATTTTAACCACTAGATGACAGCTGTAAAACAGGTATTTTATTCACTGCACTTCCACAGACACTGTTCAGTTTTCTGATCTCAGTGATGTGGATATTTATGTCAAAAGCCATATTTTGAAAGAAAGTAAATTGAAAAAAAATCCAGTCAAAACATTTTTATTTGAAAATATTGATTTATCACTGCAGAGTTAAATAACAACCATGAATACAATGTTGAAACCCTTTGATTACATGTAAACTGAAATAAAGTTATTAAGTCACTTAAAGTTATTAAGTAATAAATAAGGTTATAACTTATAAACAAGATGTAAGTTGCTGGCTATAGAAACGATACGCTAAGCTGCAAGAAATTACACCATTTTATTTATCAGAATATCAGACTATTTTAAGTGATGGATCTGAATGTAAACTTTGCTCACTTAGATAACTTTGGACAAGGCTTTTTCTTATGAGTATGTAGACCAGATGATCGGCTGAAACTCTGTCCACATAAAGAGCACTTGTGCGGTTTCTCTCCAGTATGAATTCTCTCATGTTTTTTTAAGGATCCTGACAGAGCGAAACTCTTTCCACAGTGTGAACACTTGTACGGTTTCTCTCCAGTATGAACTCTCTGGTGTGATTTTAAGTCGCTGTGGGTAATAAAGGTCTTCCCACAGTCAAAGCACAAATAATGTCTCACACTGTTGTGTATTTTTAGGTGCCTGTTTAATTTGTCAAGTCGAAACCAACTCTTTCCACAAACAGAACACACATGAGGCTTCACATCTGCATGAATTTTCATGTGTCTTTTCAGGTGCTCTGCCACAATAAATGTCTTGTCACACTGATCACAGCCGAATGATCTTTTTCCTGAGTGAAACAGCATGTGAGTTTTGAGACTAGTTTCCCATGGGAAGCTCTTTCCACACTGACGGCATGTGAAGGGTTTCTCTCCGGTATGGATTCTCATGTGCTTCTTCAAGCTTGTTTTAACTGTGAAGCTCTTTCCACACTGACGGCATGTGAAGGGTTTCTCTCCGGTGTGGATTTTAATGTGTTTCTTCAAGTTTGATTTAGTTGTGAAGCTCTTTCCACACTGACGGCATGTGAAGGGTTTCTCTCTGGTGTGGATTCTCATGTGCTTCTTCAAGCTTGATTTAACTGTGAAGCTCTTACCACACTGAGAGCAGGTGCAAGAACATTTCTCTCCTCTTCTTTGAGTGTTTTGTTGAGGTTTCTGAAACTGATGGTGTTTCTCCTCCACTTCACTTTGTTCCATCAGATCTAAAACAAACATATTAGACAATTCAAGATTGAAATAAAAGTAATCCATTTAATTTATTACAAAAAGCAACTCAAAATCTTTACACTTTGTCAGTTAACTAGTCAGTGATGCGCTTATTATGGTTTGTTATATTTACAACATTGCCGAAAATTAACCATAGTTAAAGTTTAGTAATCATTGGCTTTTGGCAGATTGATTACTGTTTATATAACCAGTTTTAACTGCAAATACAACGGTTAAACTAAAACTAACTAACCACTATGGTAAATAGTAACCATGTTTTTTTGGATTTATTTGTAGTAAACCCATGGTTCATTTTCGTAAGGATTCACTTCTAGTCAAACATAATTAAAGTGCCTCAACTTCGGATTCAAGATCTGATTCGGATTAATTCGGCAAACAATCCGGCTGGTTAGATTCACTAACATGCACCACATCTTTAATAGCCATGTAGATTTATCCAATTCAATTATAAAATGAATGTACTCACAGTCTGTAAAACGGCAGATTTAGAGCAGAATGAACGGCTGTGTTCCACTTCTCGTGTTTATGTTCCCTTCCCTCGCTCACTTCTCTTCTTCTCCTAGACTCGGATGTGTGTCATTGCTTCGGTTGCTAGAGCGCCTCTACTGGCGGAAACCATATTAAACTCTGTTAAACTCCCAGATATAAAACAACCACGATAATCTCTTGTTATCTTGGTTGATACAGGGGCGTCGCTAGGATTTTCATTTTAGGGGGGCTAAGCCCCCAATATAATTTTTTTTTTAAATGATAAAAAAGGTAACACTTTAGTTTAGGATCTAAAGCTCACTATTAACCATTTTCATTACCATGCAAAGGCACGGTTTTATAATAACTGTGGTCCCAAATGTGAGGTAGGGCAAATAGGGGGGTTCGGTGGTCTCCCCGAGAAAATTTTGATTTCTCTGATCTACATATGTGCATTTTAAGATGTTCTGAAGGCCAACAAACTTGGATAGTGGGCAGCTGATTATTTTTCTCTCCTCCTCAGCATCACACTCTTTTTCTCTTTGTTTTTCTCTTGCCCTGTCTCTTCCTCCCTAAAGCTTTGACTGAGAGGCTTTTCATTTTTGTCTGTCAGTGAAGAAATTGGGTCAACTCAACTGATAGGTTGATTTTGCCTATGAATCATTTTCTCAGATGTGTTTACTTACTGAAAGCTACTAAAGGTAATTAAGTTTATTAAATGCATTCACAATATGTAGGCTACACATTTATTATTGATCTTATGCCTAATACAGGGCCGTAGACAGGGCTTTATAATCACAGAGGTCCTACATTTTAGGTTGGTAGGGGGTTCAAATTTGTTATTTTTCTGATATGTGCATTTCAAGACGTTTGAAGACCAAAGAAAAAAGGATAAGAAATAGCTTTAAAACCATGTCAGTGGGCAGTAGATTATTTGTCAATACCTGCTCTCTCCTCATCTCCATCACTCTTTCTTTTTTTCTCAGTCTCTTCATCCCTTTCTCTTCCCCTCCTAAAGCTGAGCTTTTTTTAATTTACTAAAGGCTACAATTTGTATTATATTCTCAATATGTACACATTCATTATTAATCTTGTGTCTAACATGATGAAAACGGCTTTGTTCATGTTTCTTGTAAACTAATTATTACATTACATGAGTCACGTTACATAGGGAATGCGGACGTACGTCACGCCGTGTTGCATTATGGGACGTGGGCGCCATCTTTACAGGCACGATCTCTGTTTACCTTCGGTGTAATAGTGGGTGTTTGGCTAAAACGAGGTAAAATTGAAGAAGAACGGAAGAAATGGAGATGTTTAAAGAAAAAGACAAGGGACCCTACCGGGATAAACTAAATGCCACTGCCAAAAAACGTTATTTGGACAAACTATCCGCGATAAACAACGTTGATACATCTGATTTAGTTTTGGTGTTCAAAGCCTATGCTAAGTTGATTACTATTGTACATAAAGTTCAAGCTATTTTACCTGAAAAGCAGCTCTCATAGTTTGTTAGCTTGCTATTTTCAGCATATGTTAAGTTTTCATAGGTTGTGCAAGAAATTTACATTACTTTATAATGCCACAAGATGTGGTAAATTGTTAAATACAACTGTGCCTTATTGTCATCATTCAATGTTGACACGTGTAAAAATGAGGGTATTTGGTCATTTATTTTAAAATAGTTTGATGTATCTTTGCTCATTTATGTGTACTTAAAGGGTCTTTGTTGGATGCAATCAGTACAGAAACAGAGATGTCACTTAATGTATTTATTAAGCAGTTATATAAAAACATGATTCACAAACATTTTAAAAAAAAGCCATGTAAAAAGATCTACAGAATATCAAAGCAAATTGTTAATTGAAAACAAAATAAATATAATTTGATTCATGCAATGTGTCCTGGCTTTATCATCTGCTAACATGAACCACAAATTCAACATCATTCATCAACTATCCTCCTAACTGTTAGTCATCGAGGAATACACAATACACAACCTCTTGCTTTGTACAACTTTTAACAAACGTAGTATGCAGTGGAGGACAGTAAGTCAAGTTTTTCCTCATGATTGCGGCACCCCACGCGATCCGGCGTCTTCTCGTCAGCTCCTCGACCTGCTTCCCTTGTTGTTTTTTTCCAAGAAAGAAAGGTGAAAAAACGTATTCCGTTGTTCAGTTTCCTCTCTGAACGATCGTGTGACCTGCTATGGCAGTTGAACTGAACAACCATATCGACGTTTATTAAAATCTCGACAGAAAATCCAAACACAGCCTCCAACACATGCATTTAAATACAGCGGTATTGGGCGCAATCCTGTAAATATGGCGGCGGACCCATAATGCAACACGGCGTGACGTCATCTCCACATTCCCTATAGGCCTATTTTCAGTTCAAACTGGCGAAATTAGACAAAACTATATTAGTTTGCCAACTTTGCCTGATTATTTTTTGTCATTCGTTTAACATTTATGACCTAAAAAAAAGTAAAATATGAAATGTTAAGTTTAGCTACTTACATCTTATCTCGCACTTGACCGTACGCGTCGAGTCGCACGAGAGGCATCCAGCTGCAGCCCCGCAGACTCACTTCTCGCTAGACACCAGTGGCTGGACACCAGTGGATGGACAGCCTACGTCATTTCCGTATCGTCATTTCCGTATCGTCATTCACTTTTCAAATTTGACGCGCCATGCAGATGTCAGCGGTAAGAAAAAAAAATATAAACTGTCGATGATTTATAGGTCATGTCAGAATTCAAATGCACAAACTAGCTAGTTAAAAAAATCGTCTTGTTTTCAAGGTACTTTGTCGTGTTTTTAAAGGTATTAGTGAACTCTGGTGTGCCTCAATTCTAGAGCTAGGTTGCTACAATAGAACACTTGTACTCTAATATAGTTAAATATAAACATGCTCATTCTAATCATATTGTACATCTGTTCTTGCTTTAGGTGTGGTGAATGTCAAAAAACTGCCCCAGGCTGTAAGAGACATGTGTGTCCCTTTTAAAATTGTACAATGCAGAAATTGCAGATGTTCTTTCAAAGACTGGGTGGGGTAACGTTACCGTGGAAACGGAAGACGTGGAGACCTGCGACTGCGAGCGCGAGGGTTTTATACAGGCCCTGAATTTCCTGAGCATTGCCCAGACTGCCAGTTTTAGGGGGCAGGAATGAGGTGTGGTGTGCACAGTGTGCAATAGTTTACTTGGTCTATAGTTTATTCTCTTGAAATAGGGACTTCCCCCACAACCTTACGGGCCTGACTGTGGCATCTTCATTCTGATGGTCAGATTTGACTAATTTTACTAATTAGATTGTGTAATTTCCAATAAATATTGCAAAACCATGAAGTGTTAATTTGATCTGGATTGTTTGGTAAATTGTCTGATCATGTGAATCTACGTATATTTTAAAAACAGAAGTGGTTGCATTTAAAAAAAAAAAAAAAAAAAAAAAAAAAATTGAATATCCAAATGGGCAAGGCAAAAAACTGTGGTCAATTAACATGTACAAGTCTGTTGTATTGACAAAACGTTATAGTCCATTGATCTAGGCTGAATTTAAGTCACAAAAAATAGTGATTTGATCTGAACAATATATATTTTCAAGGTGGTTCTTGTGAATGCAGTTTGCATGAATAATTGAAGTTATAATATTAGGTATATAATTGAGAATTGTTTTATGTAAAGAGATATGATAAAGATCATATTTCAATTTGCACACAGCTTTTATATTATATATTTTAAGTCATAAAAGTAAAATGACAATACGGAAAAGACGTGTGCAATTAAGCCTGCAAAGAATACTGTCTATCCACTGGTGAAAACAGAAAATAAATATGCTGTCTATCCAGAGGTGAAAATATAAAATAAATATGTCTATCCAGAGGTGAAAATATAAAATAAATATGTCTATCCAGAGGTGAAAATATAAAATAAATATGCTGTCTATCCAGAGGTGAAAATATAAAATAAATATGCTGTCTATCCAGAGGTGAAAATATAAAATAAATATGCTGTCTATCCAGAGGTGAAAATATAAAATAAATATGTCTATCCAGACAGAGGTGAAAATATTAAATAAATATGTCTATCCAGAGGTGAAAATATAAAATAAATATGCTGTCTATCCAGAGGTGAAAATATAAAATAAATATATGTCTATCCAGAGGTGAAAATATCAAATAAATATGCTGTCTATCCAGAGGTGAAAATATAAAATAAATATGTCTATCCAGACAGAGGTGAAAATATTAAATAAATATGTCTATCCAGAGGTGAAAATATAAAATAAATATGCTGTCTATCCAGAGGTGAAAATATTAAATAAATATGTCTATCCAGAGGTGAAAATATAAAATAAATATGCTGTCTATCCAGAGGTGAAAATATAAAATAAATATATGTCTATCCAGAGGTGAAAATATCAAATAAATATGCTGTCTATCCAGAGGTGAAAATATAAAATAAATATGTCTATCCAGACAGAGGTGAAAATATTAAATAAATATGTCTATCCAGAGGTGAAAATATAAAATAAATATGCTGTCTATCCAGAGGTGAAAATATTAAATAAATATGTCTATCCAGAGGTGAAAATATAAAATAAATATGCTGTCTATCCAGAGGTGAAAATATAAAATAAATATATGTCTATCCAGAGGTGAAAATATCAAATAAATATGCTGTCTATCCAGAGGTGAAAATATAAAATAAATATGTCTATCCAGACAGAGGTGAAAATATTAAATAAATATGTCTATCCAGAGGTGAAAATATAAAATAAATATGCTGTCTATCCAGAGGTGAAAATATTAAATAAATATGTCTATCCAGAGGTGAAAATATAAAATAAATATGCTGTCTATCCAGAGGTGAAAATATAAAATAAATATGTCTATCCAGACAGAGGTGAAAATATTAAATAAATATGTCTATCCAGAGGTGAAACTATAAAATAAATATGCTGTCTATCCAGAGGTGAAAATATTAAATAAATATGTCTATCCAGAGGTGAAAATATAAAATAAATATGCTGTCTATCCAGAGGTGAAAATATAAAATAAATATATGTCTATCCAGAGGTGAAAATATCAAATAAATATGCTGTCTATCCAGCGGTGAAAACGGAAATTAGCGGCAAAACGGAAATGACGGAGAAAACGGAAATGACGTAGGCTGTCCATCCACTGGTGTCCATCGAGAAGTGAGTCTGCGGGGCTGCAGCTGGATGCTATTGAGTCGCACTGTTAAATCTCGCGCTCAGCAGTGTCTGTGAACATAAAGCCCGCCTACTTTGATTTGATTGGTCATCTCAAATTTTCTCGAGCAGTGACAGACCAATGAGGCTCAGATGAACACACACACACACACATGAACACACACACACACCCTGTCACCCTCTGTGTTTCTGACTTCCTCTCTGCTCGGCGCTGCTGCGGATTGAAGATGAAGAACGCGCTGAATCTGATTATAACAAGACTGAAGCGAACACGAATTTGTGTAGCCTACATTAATCTCACATTTTTAGGGGGGCTAGGCAGAAGTTTATTTATATAGTACCTCCTAAACATGTTTGATTTGGAATAATTAAGTATTGATTTAGAAATTACATCTTATAGGGGACACAGCTGTTCACTTTCACCAGAAAACCCATTAACAATGAAAACAAATGTTTATTAAAGATGTAATGTGCCTCATAGCCTACACAAGACCTCTTAAACAAGGCTCTTGGACTCTGAGGGCTCCCTGGAACTTACTGTTGAGCCCTATGTGATTATGAAGGCCCCAAAACCTCTTATAGAACTATTGTCACTCTTTGAGCTTTTTTTTTTTTTTTTTTTGTGAAAAGTATTGGAAAAATAACTAATTATAATTACATTATAACTGCCCATTTTCCCTAAGTTGAAGTGAGACTACATTTTTAAACATTGCCTAATTTTTTATTTGCATAATGTTTTATTGCCTAATTATAAATGATCCCACAAAATGGGCCTAGAGAGGGCAATAGAGTATGTTTTAGCATAGTTATTAAATTTGAACTGTAAAAAGTAAAAACGTACACCCTTCACTCTACAGTTGTTTGAACGACTGTAAAAGATGCACCTACAAATAAAAAAGTAGATATTCGAATACATTGCTTGATATTTGATATCCGTTCGAATTTGATTTTTCTCAAAAGTGACAGCCCTAATGAGGGCTGGACCTCAGTTCTTCTAGATCCAGGGGCAAGAAAAGTTGTCTACATTTTAAAGTTAAATGCATTAATCTGAACTTTTAGAGTTCAGAAATATAAGAGCTCAAACCCATGTTCAGCAGGCAGCCTATGAATATACATCATTAGAAAGGATTGTAAAAAACAAACAAAAAAAACATCACAATATGTGTATTGTGATTCTCAAAACATTTGCTGACCAAACAGAATTTCATTAAGTTTAGTAACAACACAATGTTTACATCTGTTGGAGCTATTTTTTATTTTTATTTATTTTGGGCTTAAATTAAGTTATAGTCTAATTTATTTCTTTTCTTTTCTTGTTAAAGTTAATTTGTTTATTTTGTATTTATGCTTTACTTGTATTGTCGTTTATTGGTCACATGGTGCTATGTTCATATGCATAAGTAGGTCAAAGTGGGAGGGACCTTAGGCCCGAGGGCATATGGTTTTTTACCAGCGTGAGAGAGGCAGCAGAAATGTCTGTGAGCTTGCTTATGTGTGTGAATAAACCGCCTCAAACTCAATCTTGTTATGCACATTACTTTGCTTTGGTACCTCTGAACCTGCGTAAAGCCTAACCATGACGTAGCCTCAAGTGGCCATTTGAGAAGTTTGTTATTATTTGTTTTTAGTTTAAGTTTATGGACAAATAGCCACTACAACATCAATTAATTTGAATAAATATCAGGTAGGCTACCTTATAAAGCTACATGTTAATTTTTCTCAAGGAAAAATCTCTCACTAATGCTGTAAATATAGGCTACAGGGGGTTGGTATTATTATTAAAGGTTAAAATTAACAAATCAAATATAATGCGGTTTTTATAATAACGTTATAATATTTTAATGATATGAGTAAAATTCTAATATGTAATATAGTGCATAATATATTTAGCAAAAACTTTATGCCTAGTTAATTCTTCTAGCTAGGCTGTGGTCATTAAATGGCTTTTCTGAGGTAAATGTTACGTTACGTGACAGGCTATTGTTCTCCAGTTGTTTTATTGACCTAGTTCAGCGGTTGAAGCACTGATTGAGTGATTACATGAGAAACACGTTGCGGCAGCATACAGACATAGGCAAAAGCGGCTTGTGTGCCTATTGGCTGTCCTGCGGCAACTGCAGCAGCCTATCGAGAGAGGCCCTTTGGTGACGGTCCAATGGGGGCGCTTCGCGGACCACGTTTCACAAAACAGGTAAAATGAATTAGCTCAATTGTCAGGATAATATTTGTGGGGCTCCACAATATCATCTTACAAACGCAATTCTCTGGCCAGAAGAATTGGGTTTCCCGCCCTATAAACACATACTCTTTAAGGTATATTTAATTTTAGTAAGCTTGTAGCATAAGATCTTTGGCACTTAAGGGACTTGAAACTGAGTAAAGAGACAGTACATCCATCAAATGAATATATAATTAATTTAATAGAGGCATGACTACTTATGTATTTACTACGGTTACACGGGATATATGTATTTACAAACACATAGACATCAATGAACAATACAATAAGACATCAATGAACGAGAAATGCGTAAAGTTTGGACAATGGATAACTTACACGCGTGAGCGAGTAAGAGAGAGAGAGAGAGGGGGATGGGGAGAGAGAGAGAACAGTGGCAGAATTCCTCCTAAGACATTCACCTCTCCGATTACAACACGAAACATCATCTTAAAGCTTCTTAGAAGCTCTATAAAGAGATTATACTTGCACAAGTTATGTTATGGTCTCTCTGTGTGTCGAGGCATTCCTGTACGGCCCTGTCTGGCCGCGTGAGCTGAGTCCTTTGTGTGTGAGGAAGCGTCACGTGGGCTGCTTGGCGCGCGTGTTGAACGGAGGTTCAAAGTCTTTGGGGTAACATTACCAAAGGGAAATAGTTCGGCTAAGTTCGTTTCACTTCGTGGAAGTGAACTGAGTCAACTACGGAAAAC